GGGTGGAAAAAATTGTTTATACTGTTAGAAAAATATTTTTGTGATTTTGGGGTGTTGGGGGGTAAGTGGTAGGCGGTTATGAAAATGAAAGTTGAAAAATGAGAAATTTCATGAGTTTTGGCGTGGGGGGGGGGCACGGTGGTTCAACTGCCCAAACTGGGCAAGGCCATCCCTAACTTTATAAGGCTTCGGGTTTGAGTTTGGGCTTCGGGCCACTCTCGGGTCTCTCAGGCCTCAGAGCCCAGGCTCTGGAAACATTCTGAGATTCTCAAGACTCGAGCCATACACCCAGACATCAAAACCCTTCACCCTACAAGCCTAAAGCCTGGAACCCTAAAGCCCCAAAGCCCTTTGTAAATCCTTAGGTAGAGCCGTGAAGCCGTGAAGCCCCATAGCCATAAACCCCTGAATCCTATGAACCGCAGTGCAGGAGAAACTGGAAGAGCTGGATCAGCGCGTTGAAGATCTCACGCGACAGCCGCCTGGCGTGGACCAGCAGACCAGGAATTGTTTGGGCGCGATCCAACTCGAATTTAAAGGCGTTGTGTAAGGGTTTAGGGGTTTAGAGAAAGCCAGCTTCATAGGGGTCATTGAAGGTCTTCGAAGATGTTGCCGCTGCATTTGCCATACCCCAAACCTTCAGTAAGTGATGATCCCCGATTTTAACAACTTTCATTCAAGTGTCATCCATGATAACCCGAATTGGTTTTGCTAGTCAGAGGTTTATAAATCCAAGGCATGGAAGCTTCACGGCAAAAGAAGCCCAAACCACCCTAACACCTAGAGCCCTAGGCGCTAAAGCCGTAAACACTAAAACTCTCAACTGTCTTGTGAAGCAGTCTTGCCCGGCCCCACGAAAACGATAGCTTCGAGCCTGAATTGTCCAGCCCCAGCGGGAATGCAATCAGACACGCCAGGGAAGTGCAAGAGCTGGAAGGTCTCGAAAATTGACTACTGCCGGTGTTTCGTTTTCAGCTTCCTGTTCTCGTCCTATGGCTCCTTGCCTTGGCCCAGGGCGAAGACGGAGCAGCTCCGCTCCATAATGCTTCGCGACGCTGGAGCTGCAAAGGTTGATCACTTTCGGGAAGGGCTCTTTGGGTTGAAATGCTCGAGCCCAGAAGACTCGCACGAAGCATCGTTGATTCGATTTTATCGTTCAGCCAGGGTTCTCATAGTGGATTTGCCGGAAAGCCCCAGCATCTTGGTGAAGCTTGCCTTGCACCAACGTTCCGAAACCCTCTTCGGCAAGGTGGGGAGCTGCAGCTCTTGGAGGGTCAGGTTTCGGGGTTCAGTGTTTCAAAGTGTCACGCGGATCACGTCGAGGAAAGGTTGCAGAAGTGATTTGGGACGGTGCTGCGATCACAAGGCAGGACTTTGCAGCTGGTTTCTGGACTGCTTGCCAACCTCAGCGCGTTGTGCATTGGAGCCTTTTGAAGTTGATCTGAACTTCGAAACCAGGAAGTCCCACACCTTGAGCTCTGGCATCCCAAGCCCTAAACCCGGAGTTCCAGAGATTCCCAACCTACCCTGCACCCAGACTTCCCGATGCCACGTCCCAGCACAGGAAGCCTTCGAACAGGAGCAGAACCGCGTAGGCCTCTCGCTCGGCCAGGCTGGGCAGAAGCTACAGCTTTAGACCCAGTAGAGTCCAGGATACAACTGGGGCCTGAAGTGCTGATGGCATGCGCCCGCTGCTTTCGGGAATCTGCCTTCTTCTTGCTTTCCCCAGTTCTCAGAAGAGCTCTCGAACTGGAATAGACTCTGAGCCCCAACAGCCAGAATCTCCTTTTAGGGTCCGCGATCGCACAGGCCGAGGCCTACGTGCACGACCAGGCCATGGAGACAGAGGCAACTCGGAGAGTCGAGGCAGAAGGGACTCAGGGTGATGTTGTGTTTGGTGGGGCTGGGGACTTTGGGTATGACAAGCTGAACTGAAGTCGTCTACCGGCTTCCTGCAGTGCATAAACTGTCCGTTCTGCGACACTGCCGGAATGCCTGATGTGAGTGATGGTGAGACTTTTTCGGGAGGTGGAACCGCTTGGCTTCGCACAGTTCGCAAGACATCCATCAACCATAGACCCGACATCCTAGATTAAATTGGAATCTTTGGAATGGCCGTGGCGTTCAAACTGAGGGAGGGCTTGGGTGGACGAAAGCAGGCGGAGGAGATGCAAGTCTCTCGCCAGCATGTGGCGACGCTGAACCAGATCCACGCGGCAAAGGCCGATGCCTGTAGGCCCTGTAGGCTTAGCAGGTCGGGGCCAGGATTAGGTACAGTAGACATGCAGCATAAAGATAGGCTTCGGGCTTCGGGGTGTGGAAGGGTGTGGAAGGTCTTTCGCCGGCCGAGAGCCGCCGAGCCCCTGCAACAGCCAACACGGGACCACGACCGGAAGCAAAGATTCCTGGCCCCTGAGGCTTAGACGGGGGTTCGCTCCAACTTAAAACTTATAGGCTGTGTTTTGGTGGTCCTCAAGAAAGGATCCTTCAACTTAGGGTCTTCATTGGGTTTCGTTTTTGCTGAAACTCCCAATTTGGCACTCCTTGTAAGATTTCTATTTCATGATTCGACCCTACTCTGCTGTCCTTGCCAAATCCCACATGGGCTCACCATGAGCTCAGAACGTTTGTAGCATCGGTTTTAATGGGCCCTAGAGGACCGTGAAGAGCTGGCAGCGGAGGCCAAGATCGCACAGCTCCGCCGCAGCCTGGCTTCAGAGCAGGGGCTAAACTCCAATCCCTCGGCTCAATAGGTATTGCCCGGAGCAGGTAGAGGGTGCTGCATGCAGACCCCAAAGCTTCAGCTCACGGGTTTCGAAGTCTTGGTTCGCTGCGGGAGTCTTTTGAAGAGAGGCTAGTCCCATGAACATCGACTTCAACAGAGTGTTCCGTCGGCGAGTTACTCCCTGGATCGGTGTATTGAGAGCGGCCAGGCAACCAAAAGCCTAAACCCAAAACCCGAACAGTTCGGGGTGCCAGTGCATTTTCCGCCACCGCCAGTGTCGCACAGGTGAGTTGGAGGCTGTGAAACTCGGCGGATCCGAGGCCTCGTGATGCAAGGGATTTCGAATCTTGGAAGCTGTTTCAAGATTTCCTGCTGTCGCAGCTTGGCGAATCGCTTCCGCGTTGCTCTGCCTTAGCCGTGCAAGGATTTACGTGGCCTTACCGATTCTCAGTTCTCATTGAGTCGGACTATGCCTAGATATTTTGAGGCAGCACCGTGCTTGTTCGGGTAAGCGATCCTCTTTTCGAAGTTGTTGTCTCTGGATGTTCCCGGGCGTGTAAGGAGGGCTCCATTGGTCTGCATATGTGTGAGGCACCCGGACGAACCCGGCCTGGAAGCCTCCAGGGTTTTGCAGTCCCAAAGCCTGGAGCCTCGGAGCCTCGGAGCATGACAGGCCAGGCCAAACCTGCTGTCGAACGGCAACAACTTCGCCGGCAACGAGGTGGTGGTAAGAGTCTCCGAATGCTGTGTCCGGCTGTGTCCGGCTGTAGGCGGTGTAGGGAAGAGTTTTCGGATGGTGTGCCAGATGCCCTGAAAGGACGATCGCCAAGCTGCGCTGGTGCAGTCTCCGAAGCTGACAAGGGGACGAATGCTTTTGAGGTTGAGGTCCTGAGGTGAGGGGAGGGTGTCGACATCGCGTTTACTGAGCTATCTATCAACTGGATGATGGTTTCGGAGGCTTCCGCTTCTTTGTGTCAACCAGGATGATCTCTTCTCCAGCGGCTTTCTAAGGCTCACAGAGGTCCGGCGCAGGAACCAGGCGAGTGCAGCCCAGGCACCCGGAGCTGCTGCTGCATCGGTTTAGGGCCCGGAGGGACTGTACGAGTTTGGAGTTTTGGGGGGGTTGTGCAAGAGGCTTTTAATTTATTGTTCGAGAGTTTCCGGGTTCGCGTTCAAAGGTTTAGGGCCAGCGGTTTGGGATTTGGGTTTAGTGGCGCGTTGCCTAAGCTCTCCCGCAGTGCGCAAGTACCCTTAATTCTGGGGTCAAAAACAACAAGGCCCAATGGAACCTGCCTACGGAAGCGATGCTTCAGAAGCCCTTCCCCGGCTTTGCGAGGTGCGCCGAAGCGCCGCAGATGTACAAATGTTTCAGCGGCAGATCCGAGAGCAGCCCGGCCGATTGGACCTTGGGGGTCCTTGGCTTCAGCCGTCGGGTACAGTAGGGCAGCGGTTGCTCTTACAGGAAAGCCGCTGCTGGCTCCGACATTAGCGGACATTAGAGTAGACGCCCTGCTTCGTACGGATCCGCAACCGCAAACCGCACGAAGGTAGACTGCGAAAGACCGGGCAGTCGCAATCCAGAAATGGACCAATCCACGGATGATGATTCTACATGCCCGCAAGAATTGCAGTTGCACTAGCAAGCCACAGCACGATTGCTTCGCCTCCTTGGTGCCTCGCCCAGTCTTCAGCAGCGCGAAGCTGCTGTGAATCAAGACCTCGCGCAGCAGAAGGTGCCGAGTCTTGCGGGATCGGGGCTTTTGACCCTACACTCGAATCCCAATCCTTGATCTGCTTGCTTAATCGCAAACCCGAAAACCAAAAAACTCGGAACCAGACCCTTTCCAAGCAACGCATGCTGCAGACGACAGATGGACAACTGTAAAGAGAACCGTTTAGGCACAGGTCTATTTTATACTATGAGACCGAATCAGAGGTTAGCCAAAGCCCGTTTCGGACAGGCCTGAATAAACGGGGTCGCGGGGAACACCAGGTCCACCCTAAACCGCTAGCCCGGGTTTTCAAGTTTACGGATCCTAGATGTAAGAATATGTATATACGTACATATATACCTATACATACATATATATATATATAATTTATACACCCAACCCAAGCCGTTTTCGTCAGGTGCCCGGCAAGCGCTCGACTTCAAAGGCATCCAACGTGTCTGCGCGCACTCGGGCCGCCTCCAGCTTTTCCCGTCTCCACGTCCTTCACTCTTTTTCTTAGCTGTGCAAACCTCTCCTTCTTAGCCCTTCTTAGCTGTACGGATGACCCTTATTTGAGCCCCAGAGCTTGTAAGATCGAATAAAGCGAAAACCTCAAGTAAAAGACCGAGTACAAGTATAAACCCCTCATTAATCCCTCTGGGAAACTGTTGTGAACCCGTCACCACCCCTTTGCTTTGGAAGCCCCTGCAAAAGCCCTGTAAGGGCCCCTACGTTAGAAGCCTTTGTGACCCCCTTCAGGCCCTAAACCCTAAAACCCTAAACCCCTAAACCCCTACATCCTAAACCCCTAAACCCCTGGCCCTAAACCCTGAACCCTACACCCCTAAACCCTTAAGCCCTAAACCCTTATACCCTTAAGCCCTAAAGCCCTAAACCCTAAAACCCTTAAGCCCTAAACCCTTATACCCTTAAGCCCTAAACCCTACAACCCTTAAGCAGCCCTAAACCCTAAAAGCTTTGAAGCCCGATGCAAGGCATCCACCTCGAGGAGGCGGCAGAGTCCGCTCTCCGGGTCGTCGAGGCCTTTGAGATTTAGGGGGCCTGGGGGCCTTGGGTTTGACCTCGAATCGAAGCTTGGAGGTTACAGGGTTTGGGGTTGAGGGGGCGGCTCGGGATTTGGGGTCAGGTCGCTGAGGAATTTAGGGTTTAATGTGTTTTGGCTTCGAGTCTAAGGCCTAGAGTTTAAGGTTTGCGGTTCAGGTAGCTTTGTGTTTCTGGCTTGGGAGGTAAGGTGTTGCTAAGACGGCCCATCTGAAGCCCCGAAGGTGTGGAGACGAAAGCCCGGAAGTGCTGAGTGGGGTTGGGGCTCCGACATGATGGCCAAGCAAGACCAGCCGAAAGTCCCAGCAGCCCTAGATCATTCACAGTACTAAGATTTCGATATTGAAGGCTAGCCCCTTACCCTTGGAACCATTTGCCTGAAGCCATCAACCCTTGAGCCTTAAACCCACAAACCCTGCAATCCGAATACCCCAAACCCTCATAGAACCCAGTAAAACCCGTTTAGACTGCTTCCCGAACCGACATTTCGAACCGTAAACCCTAAACCTTAAACCCTGAACCCTGAACCCTAAACCCTAAACCCTGAACCCTAAACCCTAAACCCCGAACCCTAAGCCCTGAACCCAAAACCAACTAAAGCCCCGAATTTCGGCCGCGTCTCGCCCGGCTTGGGCTTTGCAGCCAGGCGAGGCTCCAATCGGAGCTCGCCGATGCGCAGGCCGGGAGCCTCGCCTGTTCGGGGACTTCGGGTGTTCGGGGACTTAGGGTTAGAGAGTAAGGGCTTAAAGCTTCAGGACTTCTGGGGGTTAGGACTGGTTAGGGCTTGTGGGGGGGTTTAAGGTTTCAGTTTAGGGTTCTTGAGCGGAGGGTGTAAGGTTCTGGTTTTCGGAGCTGCCGTTTTCTGCTCGGAGGCTTTCAGATTCGTTGTTTGCGTGTTGCCGATGCAGAGTAGACCATTCGCCTTTGAAAGGAGCATTATATGCTTATATACCCCACGTAGATGCGTGTATTGCCCTTGGAATGTCAACAAGGTTTTGGGAGGGATTGTGGTCACGACAGTTAGGGATTTCGTCCAGGCTTTCTAGTTCCGGGCCCATGTGCGGCCAACCTGCACCTAACAGCTGTGGCAGCATCGTACCTTCTCCTCAAGGTGACAGTGAGTTGAAGCAAGCCTCCCGTTAAAGATGCAGGACCAGAGGGTACTGTCACAATCTTCATGTTTTCGCTTGGAGAAGCCGCCGAGTTTCTGGATGCCACGCAGGTTTGCTCGCCCAGCCGCGAGGGTCACCAGCAGTTCAGCTGCCAGACTGCACTTGTGAAATCCCTTGGGTTCCGGATTGCAACTTCGAGTTAGCGACGCAGCTTCCGAGGCAAGCATTTCTTCCGTGCGTGTGAGTGGGTGGAGGGTCTGCCTCTCCCTCTTTCTCTCTCCATCTCTCTTTCTCCGATTTCTCCCTCTCTCTCTCTCTCTCCGTGCGTGGTTGGTGTGTGTGGTGTGCCTGTGTATGTGTTGGTGCGGTTGTGGTGTAGGTGTGGGTGTGGGTTGGTGGGAGGCAGCACGTCCGGCAGCTCTCGGGTACATGTGAAAGGATCTTGGGTTGTCACCACACACAGCTTCTTGAGTTGCAGCTTCGCCCCAGACCATACCCGAAGGATTGTTCGAAGCTCTACCAGGTCATGAGTTTCTATATGCAGGAGACCACGACTGATCGAGATCAGAAGAGAAGACGCCCCAGAAATTTAGATGCTGAAGAAACGTAGTGTTAGTGGGTTCATGGTTGCCAAGACACCCAAGTAGCATGAGGCGACCGGGAGACGCAGCTGCTCGCCCATGCGCAGAATGCCGTCGATGAGCTCACAGAGGATCCGTAGAGCATGCGAAACTCTTTGCAGGGGCCTTGTTGCTTCATCAAGCTGCAGCTGCACCAACATATTCTTTGTCACAGTCCAATCTTGATTCCGGTACAGAAAGCCTTCAAGCTGCACTTAATTTTGAATAGGAAGGTTTTTGTAAGTTTGGTTCTTTTAACAATCTGCAGCGATAAGGAGAAACTCCCAGCTTTCGCTGCAACTGATGCGTCTGGCTGGTGGCATTAAAGAAAGGTCGCATTCTGCACTCGGCTCGGCCCGTTAGACCCAGTATTTAGAATCCCAATGATACTTTTCGTTTCCAGATTCCCGACTCAGCCAGGAGTTGGGGCGTGCCCGGGGGCAGCTCGCTGCGGCTGCAGCGCCGGCACCGCGTAGTGGCGATGCAGCGCCGGGAGATGACCTGGCACCTCACTAGGGCATTCCAGCTTTTCCTAGCAGGTTCTCGGATCCAGAGTTCAAAAGTTTATAGGGGTTCAGGATTCGGGGGTTCCGGGTTTGGGTGTCTAGCCTTTCGCAGAAAATGTTTGCTCAGATGCGTTTTTCTTGGGCCCAAAACAAGACAGTGGAGTCAGATTTCCCACAAGCTGTATGCGACCCGTGTTGCTCTTGCTGATCGGGTGTCTGCTCTGCCCGAGCTGTACCCCTGAATTCAAAGGCATCGGGTCTCTGTGCTTCCGTGAAGTAAACTGGCTGTTGGCAAATCCTGGCTTCTCGGGTCGTGGTAGGCCTGGTAATACTTTAGTGCAGAAGTTGGGCGCGGGATATCTATCTCTAGGACTCTAGGACTCTCGGACCATCGATACATCTTCCATGCTTGGTGTTACGAAGATGCAGGCCTTCATTTCACTATCCACGCCACTAACCTAGGAGTTTGGGTTGAAGTCTGGGTGCACTAGCCCAAAGCGTAAGCTTCATAGCCCGTAGCCTTTTTTTTCCGGCAGGTCGCCGCCGGGCTGCAGCGCAGAACAGGCATGATCCTGGCAGCGCCTGGCCAGAGCAAAGTCGGAGTAAAGAGATGCGTTGCCCAGTTCAAGGAGGCGTTTTCCTTTGGCTCGTGCGCAACTCATGCGCGCGCTTCTGAGAAGGCTTTTGAGGTTCTCCGGGTATGTTCAGGAAGTTGTGCCCTTCGATTCTGGGTCGAGCTTCTGGGCCGTGAAGGACTTGAACCCAGGACTTTCAACCGTTCAGCATAAAGCTCTTTCCAGCCGGTTTTTCTTGTGAGTCTAGAGTCCCTCTGCGCTTCTATCCGGTGATGAGGCGGTTGGGGCTACACACCGTGAGCTCAGGCAAAGGGCGAGACCGACTTCTATCTCAAGGAAGAGTTGCTGCGCCAGCAATTTGTCAAGGACGCCGGATGCTGGGACATCCTTCGACTCCGGTTTCGGAGACTCTCCGAGCTCGATGTTCTCAAGGCCTTCGTGCCCTGCTTCCATAAGATTCAAGCTGCAAGCTCATGCAGGAAGAGCTCGACCGGATGCGCGACGAGCTCACCCGGCCCGCTTCCGCGGCTCTTGTGCGCCCTGTGCCTTTCTTGCACATTCCTCAGATCCTAACCTAAACAACCCTATACTAGCTTTGGGTTCCAGCCTCGGGAAACGGGAACCAGCCTCCAAACCTGATCATCGATGATGGAAGCACGAAGCTCGGATTGATCTCCCGGCGGCTGAAGGTGCCGGCAATGGCGGAGCGAGCACCGCAACCGAGGGATCCCATCATCCCCCCTGCACCCCCCGAGGAGGCGGGCTTGGTCCAGGTCCCCCTTGCAAGCTGTTCTGGAAGAAACTCCACGCAACAGAACTGGTGCAAAGCAGGTTTCGGAGTTCAGGCTAGTGAAGTTATTGTCAGTGGAACGTAGGCCGCGGAGGCTTTGGGACCCTTGACAGCCTTACTATCCTAAGGTCGTACTTCTGCAGCCCGAAATCTACGGATCCTCCGGAAATCCCATAGCCCTCCGATGCAGGTCTCCTCCAGCGACCTCCGGGTCCGCTTGGCCTCCCTTCGGAGTCAGCTCAGCGAGGCTGCTTCGGGGTTAGGGGGGGGTTCATCGGGGTTTAGGTTTCAAGATGTACGGTCCGCGGGTAGGGTTTAGGGAGTTCAGCGCTTACGTTTGGTGCTGGATGCCCTGGCACCTGATGCCATTAGTGCCATTAGTCGATGGCGAGTTCTGAGATGATGGGGGTGGGACATGAACATGAACGCTTGCTGCCGAGAAGCATGGGGATGCGCCACGGGTATCCTGCAAGCCTATGACACGAAACGCTGTGGGGTCTGAGGCTGAGGATGCCAAAGGTCTCGGTCTCTTCGGGCGCCCCTTCGCTCCTTCCTGGGTTCTTGTTAAGGGATTTATTTTAAGTTACCATAATAGGGATCTATAGTAAATAATAGGGTTTCCTTATTATGGTAAC